GAAGTTACTCGACCTAGTCATATAGCACTTTGTTTTCTGGGTTTCGGAAATTGAAATTTGCAAAACAATCAAGATCAAATTTTTATTTTATTTTTTTATTTTTTATATTTAATATATAAATAAATAAAAAGAAATGGAGGAAGGGATGAAAAAGGAGAAAAATGGAGTAGCAAAGAAAGAGAAAAAGCTGCACAGTATTAGTAGTAATATTATTATTACATGCATACAAAACTGTGCCTCTTCCTCTTGGGATTGCTTTCTGTCGTTCCTCCCATTTCTTCTTTTCTAGTCTCTCTCTCTCCTCTTTCTCTCTCTAGAAATTACCAAAGTTCTTGAATATATATAATAGATCTACGAGATCTGATATACATACACACACATATGAAGAGACTCAGCAGCTCTGATTCTTTGGGTTCTTTGATTCCCATCTGTCCCAACTCTACAGGTGAAATTAATTTAAATAAATAAATAAAGAATCAATTTTTATTTTCATTATTATTATTATTCCATATATATATATAAATTAGCGTAATTAATGGATCATGTTTTTATTACAACAAAAAGATTCAAACATGCTCTCCCCATGTTTTCCTGTCCCGAACAAAACAATCTCTCTCTCTCTCTCTCTCTCTCTCTATTTTTAGTAATTTTTTTTTTGAATTTTGTTTTTGCAGATGAGAACGAAGAAGGGAACAGAAATCCGATATACACGAGGGATTTTCAGACAATGTTGGATGGGTTAGACGAGGAAGGCTGTTGTATCGAAGAATCCGGACACGTGTCGGAGAAGAAGCGGAGGTTGAGCGTTGACCAAGTCAAGGCGTTGGAGAAGAATTTCGAGGTTGAGAATAAGCTCGAGCCGGAGAGGAAAGTCAAGCTGGCTCAAGAGCTCGGCCTTCAGCCGCGCCAGGTGGCGGTTTGGTTCCAGAACCGCCGTGCACGATGGAAGACTAAGCAGCTGGAGAGAGATTACGGCGTGCTTAAAGCTAGTTACGATGGCTTGAAACTCAACTTTGATAAATTACAGCATGACAATGAAGCTTTGCTCAAAGAGGTTTTTTTCTTTTTTTAATCTCATTAATTATTTTTATTTTTTTATTATTTAATTATTTAATTTATTAATTTTTTTTGTTTTTTTTTGTTTTTTAAGATACGAGAGCTGAAATCGAATCTGAACGGTGAAGAAGAAAAAGTCAAACTCGAGACGCCGGTGGGTTTACTAGCGGCTTCTGAAATGGAGCATGAGAACTTCGGCGGCGGCGGCGCCGCCGCCGCGGTGTGTGGCGGCGATCTGAAAGATGGGTTTTCCGATAGTGATTCGAGTGCGATTTTGAACGAGGAAAACAACAAGAGTAGCCCGATTGGTGGTGTGATTCAACAGCATGGCCAGCATGAGTTCTTGACTGGTTCGTCAATGGCGGCGGCGGCGGTGGCGAATAGTAATAGTAGTTATCAGCCGCAGTTTGTGAAGATCGAGGAGCATAATTTCTTCGGGGAGGAGTCTTGCAGTACTTTCTTCTCCGATGATCAAGCTCCGACGCTCCACTGGTATTGCTCCGATCAGTGGAATTGATGATTAAGAAGAAGATAAATTCTCAGTAATTAAAAAAAAAATTAAATCTTTTTTTTTTTTAATTAAGAACTCTTATGTGAAATAAGTGAAAACTTGGGAGCAGAAGACAATTTTGTATAGTAATTACTTGAATTTTGGAGCTATTATCCATTGTTTCTCTCTCTAAAGAATCAAATTAAGAGAGAGAAAGGTGGTGGGGGATGAAGGAGGGGTGAGAATTCAGAGTTCACGTGGGGGTGTGGGGAAGAAGAAGCTTAACATAAGAGAGAGAGAGAGAGAGATGAAAGATTTGTGGGCTGAAAGGGTAAAATGGGGATTCTTGTAATGATTGGAACTTTGAATTGGTTAATGACTAAAATTGGAGGAAAAATTGATGAAATTATAAGAATTTGTTTGGATTCAAAAATAATTAATTTCTATTAATTTCATGTTATTGATATACTTTTAGCCATTTGGATTTTTCAAAAAATCATATTATTAATATACTTTTAGTAAAATTAAAAATAAAACCCCAAATTGTAATGGATGATTCACTTTTAATAGATATTTAATACTAATTAGTAGTTAGGAAAGGATAAACAATTCCTTAACTTTGAGTATTAAAAAAGAAAATCATATTTGTTTTAGGGGCAAATTAGAATGAACCCTTGAGATAAGGTCTAATTACAAAAAAAATCCTTCTTGTTTACGTAATAACAAACACACCCCTGAAACTAACAGGCTACAAAAACTCTAATAACACTTAGTAATTGTTTAAAATATCCATGTGTTAAAAGGGAAAAAAAAAACCGTTGTAAATTCAATATTCTGATTTTTTTTTACATTTGGCCCCTCGTATAATATAAAACCTCACATTTGGCCCCTTTCTTTTTAATGTTTCATCAGGAGGAGAGGTGCATTAGTATTTCAAAATAGTTAATTAAAAATAACACCAAACAAAAAAAGCAATGTTCCCTAATACGAAAGCATAATCCATCACAACCCATTCTCCCATACAAAGTTCAAACTGTGGACACTAATATAAATAATTAATTAGATAAATTAACAGTAATTAGACCCTTCAATTTTGTTTAACAATAAAATATATATATAAAAAATATAGATAGATATATTATTGTTAGCATATTCTTTAGTTGTGTCAGCTGTCAGCATATCAACTCCGCTGGCTGCTTGCTGCAGATATGCATGTGTTCTGTTCTGGGAAAAACCCAATTCAGACAAGAGATTCCCAGTTTCACTCTTTTTTTTTTTTTTTTTTTAATATGATGAATTATTAGTATTATATTATTATATTTATGGTAGTACATTATAGCTATTAGGTTTAGGTAGTCTAATATTATTAGGTTTTATTTAAAAATTACTATATCTGCTAGCTAAATTATATATAACCCCTTTTACATATTATTTGTATCTATTTCATTGCTTTCGATAATTTTTTGTTTACCGTATGTCTATCTTTTAAACTCGTCGTAGAGGGTAATCGGAAGAAAACGATATAAATAGACAATGGAATATTAGAAATTGGGTTCGGCAAGTTATAGCATGGCAAAACGAGAATTGTCACGTAGTCCGAAGAACTTCAAGTTTACGCAAAGGGCAACTCGTTAGAAAGATGAGAAAGTCGAGAAAGAAGAAGTCATGCATGCTGGAGCCCGGTCAGTACGCGGCGGGGCGCATCTGTTTCTCTT